CCCCCCTGGTTTTCTGAGGGCGGGGGGTTCGAACTGCTAGTGACCCCTCTCTGGTTTTCTGGGGGGGGGAGGGGTTCGAACCGGTAGTGACCCCCCCTCGGTTTTCCGGAAGGGGGGGGGTTCGAACCGGTAGTGACCCCTCGTTGGTTTTCCGAGGAGGGGCCCGGGAGGGGTTAGGGGGGGTGTTTGCCGTGGGGAAGGGGGGGGGTCCAGCAAGAGGGGGGGATCTTCGGAGGGGGGGGACCCCCGGGCTCCAGAGGATGAGGGGGATTTTCCATTTAAAGCTGCGGTGGATCACGCTGTCTCTCACTCTCACATGTAATCAAATGGAGCCCTTCGTGCGCGCATATCGACACCATTCGAACTCCCTTGCGCGCGCGCTGTCGCAAGATTCCTTGGCAAACCACCAGACGACGACATACACGCGCGCGCGTCGTCACGCGCGCACGCTGCAATCCTTCACAAACCAGCGGTCCCGCAATGATTTCAATCTCGTATGTTCCGAAAACATGAAAACAATGTGGTTTAACAACTGGAAACTTACAAGAAAAACTGTCCCCGCGCCGTTGCGACCTCGTAAAACAAAAACCATATGGTTTCAACATGTCCATCACATACGACCAAAGTGGGCATCTCGCGCGCGTGTAGAAAACATTCGGACGTCCTCGGGCGCGTGCTGGTGTGTGTGTGTGTGCACACGATCGGGCCAGGTGCGCGCGTCGGCTGCGCGCGCATGTCTAAATCCGTACAAACCTTCACCATCGACGCGTGGACACCATCCTCGTCATCGGCTTGGTCAACATCGGCGCCGTCATTGGCTTTGCCGTCGTCAGTGTCTTCATCATCACAAGCATCGCTACTATCATCATCGCGTGTGCCATTGTCCACGTCGAATCATACCGTGCCCTCCCAAATAACCGACTCGGACTGAAGTGCCACCGCGTCAGCACGGCCTGCGAGACATGCTGGGGAATCCCCAGCGGTCACAGCACTGCGGCCACGTCGGTCGCGTCAGACTAGCTGGTCGCTCTGCGTGCGAGCCTGTGCGATAGCGCGGCCGCGGCGATGCGCCAGCCAGCGCCGAGCAGTCATCGCAATCGCCGCCGCATGGATTTAGCAAAGCAAATTGTGGGTGGGTGGGTGGGGTGATTGTGCGAGCACTTGAATTGGCAACTTCGAATTCGGCAATGTGTGTCGCGCCGCATAGACTGCACCGCGTAAATGCCCCGTTCGAAAAACATGAGGATCTGCACCCCCCGCCCCCCGGATTGAATTTCCCTCTTTTTCGTATTACAATGTACATACGATTGAGCCCCATCGTCCGTCCAAAATATGAACTCATACCATCCCAGGCAGGCCGGTAACGCTTCCCCCCCATCCTCTGCAAACCATATTTTCCGCGCGCACGCGCTCGTTTGTCAAATTCGCCGGCCCAACGGGCCAGAGGCGTGCTAAGATCTCCGGTAACTGGTTCACAATTCTTCTATTTCGGGCGCGCGGGGCGGCCCCTGGGGGTTCCCCGGCGAAAAATACCCCGACCGCAGCCCGGGAAGGTCCTGGGAAGGTCTACTCAGAGATGGTTTTCCGCCTGGGTACGGCCTCTCCGGCCCCCAAGAGCGCGCCAAGAGGGCCCCAAGAGGCCCCCAAGACTGCCCAAGAGGCCCCCGAGACGCCCAAAGGACGCTCCAAGACGCCGAAGATGATCCCAAGACGGCCCAAGAAGCCGCCAAGACGCTCCAAGTGGCCTCCAAGAGGCCTTACAAGAGCGCCCCGAGAGGCCAAAATCATCCATGGTTTTGGAAGGATTTTGGCCTCGTCGCATTTTCGGCTTTCCGATGCTCCAAGACGGCCCAAGAGGCCCCCAAGAGCGCACGAAGACGGCTCAAGAGGCCCCCAAGAAGGCCCCCAGAGAGCCCAAACGGGCCCCGAGACGGCCCAAGAGACGCCCAAGACGGCCCAAGAGAGCCCCAAGACAGCCCCAAGAGGAGCCCAAGATGGGGACCACGAACCGAAACCTCGAGCCTTCCGCCCCAAGAGGGCCCCAGGAGGCCCCGAGAGGCCCCCAAGATGGCCCAAGATGCCGCCAAGAAGCCCCAAGAGACCCCAGGAGGCTCCAAGGAGGCTCAAAAGAGGCCCTACAAGGCTTCAAAAATGTCTCCCAGGCGCCCCCGAACGGCCTCTCAACAGACCCCAGGGCCTCCCAAAGAAGCGTCTGGACGACGGCCCTGTTTGACCCCAAGAGCGCCGCAAGATGCCATCGAGAGGCTGCCTCCTCCGCCCTTTTCTCTTCCTCCTCCTCCTCATAGTTATCTTCATCCTCCTCCGTTCCTTCTCATCCTCTTCTACTCCTCCCCTCCCCCTCCCCATCCTCATCTTCCTCCTTCCGGCGGCGCCGAAATGGCCCCGAGCCCGCGCCGAAGCAGTAGCGATCATGCAATACGGGCTGGCGGAGTGAGCGAAGCGATTGAATATCATCAATTCGCAAAAACCTCTTGCATAC